CACCACTGCAGAAGCCAGAAGGGAGCTACAGAAGCTGCGCAAAGATGGGGACCCGGCTATCTGTGATAGCATGAAGGATTTAGGCCTGGACTGTGCCCTGGGTCGGGTCCGAAGGGTCAAGGTGCAAAGAGCCCGAAGGCACAAAGCGGGCAAACGACAGAAGAAGTTGAAACAACTGAGAGTCCCGAGTGTGCCGGCCCAACCTCCGGTGTGCTCAGTGCCAGCTAAAACTTTTGCACACCAAAAACCGCAAAACTTTGGAGGCACTGGCAGCACACCAATGTGCGCAGCAAGGGAGGGTTGCGATTGAAGGGGTTCATGTCACGCATGTTTTGAAGCTTTTGGGAACTAGGCAACTTTGGGTGTGTGAGGGCTGTGGTGGCCAACTGTCCCTAAAAACCCAAACGGTTTCGCAAAAACTTGCTGCTGCTTGTAGTTTCAAAAAGGACCCCAGGTGTAAATCGCAATTCAAACCCGAAACAACCAATGCCCTCCGCAGCCTTTTTCAGCCAGCACAGGATACCAGGCCAGTAGACGGCGCCCCCCCCTGTGCGCAATGGCGGAAGTGAAAGAGGAGGACCTGCCCTCCCAGGGAGGCCCCCGTGAAGTGTGAAGGAGAGAAGCCGGAGGGTGGAGCCTCCTCAGAGCAAGCGGCTCTCAGCCACCCCACCGGCGGCGCTGATACTGAGGAGGGGCTTCCCGCCCAAGCCAGTGCCTCCTCAAATGCGGCCCTGCCGAGACGAAGGAGGAAAACAACCAGGAGCCACCAACCGCAGCACCGGTAGGGGAGGGGCAGCCTCCGGAGGATAAGGCTTGGGAGAGTCGTAAGAGGGAGGTTCCTCCTCGAGCAGGCAGCCAGGAAAAGCCCAAGGCAAGGGAGAGTTCCTGCTGGAGCGCAGGACCCCCGGCGCAATGGTACGTAGATGATACACCCTGCAGAGGCAAAGGAACAGGCCAGGGCTCAAAGGCAACAGGCTGTTTCTGAGGCAGCCCAACGGGTCCCACCCAGGCCACCGCCAGCGAACCGTGCTGCCAACCCTGGTTGGGGGCACGAAGAATGGGAGGGATGGCAGGAATGGGGGGACGAGCATTGGGGTCCTCCAGCTGGTGGGGAGCCCCCGTGGAGGAGCAGGACCAAGAGCCCCCGGCAGACCTCAACACGGGTACCAGGCCAGCAACCGAGGGAGGTAACCTTATCCTCCGAGCAAGTGGCCGCGGCCGAGGCAATGGCCTGGCCAATCAGCTGCCTGACCGGGCCTCCTATGAGGTCCAAGGCAAGGTCAGGTACCTGAGCATCCTTGCTCGAGGTGGCTCGAGGGTAGTGTACACCCTCGAGCAGGAACCCCGCTGGGTCTTAAAGGAGGCCTCCAAAGTTCCCACCACTTTGAGTGCTGGCTTTCGATTCCTGGCCCCAGGTCTGCCGGAGGTTCACCCTCCAGGTCGAGGTCCCTGGGCCCAGACCAGGACCTGCGGGCCTTCGCAGTCGAGCGGATGGTGGCCCCCATTCGCCCGACACCGGACGGTTCATTCCTCCAGATGTGCATTATGATGTGCTTCTGGTGTGGACTTCGCCTTCCGGAGGGGTACCTCCATCCCCGCGACCAAGGGGAGCATAGCTGGGGGTACCTTGGAATGGCCAAGTACCACCGGTTGACAAGCTTGGATGTGGCCAACTGGGGCACCAGAGAGCACTACGGTTTCCCCAGCCTGACCCGGCTCGTCTCTTTCTTCCGGTGGTTTGACCAAGACGCACCCACCTTGAGCAGCAAGGTCAGGAGGTGGGTCAGCCTCCATCATGCCAGCATCCCTTTGCTGGCCAGCTTGTTGCTGTGGGAGTTAAAAAATATGGACATGGTGTTTGTCGAGGCTCTCATCGACATGAAAGTTCTTTATGAACTGCCGTCGCCCGATTACGGGCTAGCGCGACCCCTCGGCAACATCCTGGAGGAGCCTCGCTGGGAGTTGGTGCCACTAAGGGCACCACCAGCTGATGCAGCCTAGGAGGTTGCATCCTCCCAGCGAGGATAGCAAAGAGGTATCATCCTCGCTACCAGGGCGGAACCCTGACCGCCTCCCTCTAACAGCCTGCACTGAGTGCACCAAAGGCCTTGAGGGACCTTTTGTCAGGAGGTTCCTAACCTCTCATGAGGTACCAGCCTCTGGTAGCATCCCAACGAGGATGATAAGCTGAGGTTCATCCTCGCTGCCAGAGAACACACCCCTGGCCGATATCCTCTCACGGTTTGCACCCAATGCACCAGAAACCCTGAGGAACGTTTTGCCAGGAGGTTCATTCCTCTCATGAGGTACAACCTCTGGTAGCATCCCAAAGAGGATGGTAGCTTAGGAGGAGGTGTTTTCCTCCCCCTGTACTATAGGGCCAAGAGGGCCATCAGATGTGCCGGTACAGAGGCACGGTTTTCACAACCCAAACACCAAGAAGGTGGATCGCATTTGTTCGCTCAACTCGGAAAAAAAAACTCGAACCCCCCGTTCCTTGCTGTTCAGAAACACACCACAATGGGGAGCGGAGTCAGTCTTTTTATGACCAAGGGGTCTTGGCGCCTACTCCCATCCCTTGGCCAAAAAGATTTGGCAGAAAGGAAAGCTTTGCAATCGCCAGCCTCTCGCTGCAGCTCCGCCATGTCCGTCAAAGGAAAGGCTGTTTAGCTGTGTGTTCCCAAACTTGCATGTTTGGACTCACGCAGCAGAGAAAAGTAGCTTCTCGCTGAGTGAAGCTGAGTATCGCTGAGTTCTATCTTCAGAAGATTGTCGATGATATGGAGGGAAGTGGCTTGGTTTGGTTGTTCAGGACTACTGGCCACCTACAACGCTAGACCTCTTGTCTTGTAGGAGTAGTGCGGTGCTTGTTGTCCTTCGACACACACACGCACACACAGATCAAGGGCTCTTTTCCCGTGGTGTGTGACGGAACGCAGTGAATGCAGCAATCAAGATTCGAGATCAGCTGCGCCCATCGTCAGCAGGCGAACTCCAGACGTCCGGCGCGTTCTTCGGGGTCAAGCGGGTGCATCGGCGTCGCCTAGTTTTGACTTTGCAGCAGGACTGGGGCTTGCTGCCGGGTGCCAGCGACTGTAGTTACGGTCGGTCGCGTTTATCGGCTGAGGTTGATCGGCGGGTTGGAAGATTTGCCTTGGACCATTGCTGTACTTGGATGATCTCTTCTGGCTTATGTAATTGCTGGAATGCCGTGGATTGTGCTCGTCATCGTGCTCGTCATCTTCCATTACGTCTTGCCGGGTCTGCCGTTTGCGTGGCAAAAATTTGGAGCCGGAGCCGAATTTGGTTTGGTTCTCCGAATCAAAAAGCCGCGGCAATAAAGACCGCAGCTTTTGCAATTTCTTGTGCTTGGGGCTGGGGTTGCTTCCCGTTTGCATTGTTCACATCTTCGAAGCGGCGTGAGCGTTGTGTGGACTCGAGAACCGAGAATGGATGGATCTCTTCTTGTGCGAGTCCATGAGTCCAGCGCAGATCTTGAGACCCAAATTCTTGGCCACCGCTTCTTGCGAAACTAAGGGAAGAGCGTCTGGAGTGCCAGAAGTGATGAGTTGCTTGCCATGATCAGTTGCCCCGCGAAGCGACGTGAGAGGAAGAGCGCAAGGGAGACCTTTGTTGGAGTGTTCGCATGGATGTTTTGGCATTGGAGGCATGAGGCCCCTTTTGCGGGACTTACCGCGGCAGCGATCACGAGCGGGTCATCCCTGATGCACAGATCCACAACAACATCACCATCATTCGCCGCCCATCATGGCTAACGATGTACTAAGCCCTAAACCCTAAAGCCTCAACCCTAAACCCTAAACCTTAAGCCCTAAATCCGAAATCCTAAATCCCATATCTCAAACCCTAAACCCGGAACCCTGAACCCAGAACCCTGAACGGGGTGCCTGCAGCAGTTGCAGTTGTTGCTGTGGTAGGTGTCGTGGCGGATGTATTACATGCATTGCAGGTCACGATGCTCGGAAAGTACCGGCGCCAAAGCCGTTTTTGAGATTTACGCCCGAAACAAATTTTTGGTACCATTCTCAGGGAGATGATTCGAAGATTGTCAAACCAGTATGATGTTAGAGGTACAACCTTGCAGACAAATTCAGCCGAAAAGGCTGTTTTCGATCATGTTATGGGGACACGTGCGGTGCCTGTCGCGGTGTCTCTTGGTGTACGACCTGTTTTGCAACTGCCCTAACCGAATCTGTGGCATCTCGGATAGTTGGCCTGGGTATGGTTGGTTGAACAGAACTTTAGTGCTGGTGTCCGTGTAGGCTTGGTGGCCGCAAGCAGCATGACGTTCTGTAATGTCTACAACTTGAAGGTGCAAGCCTACTTGAATGTACCAGCCTTCGTCGTCGCCTGTGTCGTCCGAAGGGTACACAAATTCAAACTTCGAAAGAATGGTGGCTAGGAATCTGAGTAAACTCAAGCAGTATCACTACATTTTGTATGAGAAGTCTCATGCGCAACCCAAGGGCTTGGTGTCCGATGCAGGACATTGCAACTTGCAGACTGCCTGGTATGCTGCCGCGAGTTGATGCGCATGTGTTCATATCCACTGTGTGCAAAGGACAAGCAAACCGGGAGCGCGAGTGAGGGGGGCCGGAGTCAGGGGGTAACAGGCCTGTATGAAGCCGTTCTGGGGCAGCAGAATCTTACAGAAAGTGGGCAAGTGCTTGCGTGAAACTTCTTGAGGAGCAGGGAGGGCACACATGTACGGTTTCTGGTCAAGCGGGCTTACCCAATTGCAGTGAACGTTTGGGCACCTGTGTCAAGATGGCATGATGAAGAGATCGTTTGCGCGCCGTTGGCCGGCTGCAAGGACAACGCTTAGCTTAGTTGTCAGGCGTTTCAAGTCCATTTTCCACACGAAAGGTCTTTGAACTTCAAATCCGAAGCGCCAGCCGGGTAGCAGTGCATCATCCATCCACTTGTGAAGAGATTTTGGCTACTCCAGTTTCACCTTCACCGCTCCTGCATGAGTTGCCATGGCCTTGCTTTCGGAACTGGCGCAGTTGGTATTCTTGTTTCTCCCTTTGGTAGCAGACGCGAATGCGTGGCTTCCAATATCCCCGGCGGGCAGCCCACCACTCCTCCGCTCAAGCCATGCAGCTGCCATTGGCAACGAAAGGATGTATGTCTTCGGAGGCAGTTGAGCGTGTCTCGTGCAGACCTCGAATTCCCTATAAGTAAACAAAAGCATACGTTGAACCCCTCCAGGCATTTCCAATGACAGCAGTGTTTTGTTGGACGACTTGCACTACTTTGACATCCAGAATGTGGTATGGCAGCAGCTGAACCCTTCGACCACGCCCACCGCACGCAGTTACCCTTCGGCAGTGTGGGATCCAGGGACCAGCTCGTTGTACCTATTTGGAGGATACGATGGAAGCAGTATCTTGAGTGAGTTATGGTTCTACCAAAGCACAAAAAACACATGGAACGAAGTTGTCCCTCGCCAGTCTGACTCCGTACCGGCTCGGTACTTCCACACTGCTGTTTGGAGCACTGGCTTCTCCGGCATGTATGTCTTCGGCGGCAGAGGTGTTGGTACGATACTCAACGACGTCCAGTACTACAACAGAGAGGACGGCACTTGGGCGGAGGTCACCGCCACTGGTAGTGTACCCAGCATTCGCTATGGGCATGCCGCGGGATGGGATGACGAGCTTCACAGGATGTACGTGTTTGGCGGGACGGGCTCCGGAGGTGCCGGTGTTCTCCAGGATTTGCACCTCATGCTTAAGTATGTTTTTGTTTTTTTGGTAGGCATTTTCAGACCCTTCGCAGGTCCCCTTCCCTCTCCTCTCCCCTCGGGGGTGCCATGAACGGTTCTGGCTGCCGTAGGAATTAAGACCTGTTGATGGAGCGAAGTCTACAGACGCTGGGGTCGGTCAGGTACTGCTTTGCGGCGGCAGGAAGCGAGTGGTCCTTGCTATCCCCAGCTGGCTCTGCGCCGGGTGGTCGCAGCAGCATGTCAGCAGTTTGGTCCCCGGCCGACGGCCGGATGTATGTCTTTGGAGGTAACGACGGCACTGCCTTGAATGACTTGCACTACTACGAGAGTGGGACAAACAACTGGCACCAGATCAACGTCCAACAGCCGCCTGAGGGCCGAGCCAACCACGTGGCAATATGGAGTCAGGCCGAGGGCCGGATGTACGTCTTCGGTGGGGAGTCCGCCAGCGGCAGGTTGAATGACTTGCAGGCCTTCAGTCAAGCAAGCACCGGCTCCTTCAGCTTGACGGCCGGAACGTGCCTTGCCTCAAGAAAAGATGCCTGGGCTGCGGATGGCTGCGGTTGCGGTTAGGAGGGTCTTTTAAAGAGGCATCTCGGCCTTAAAGGCTTCAGGGCTCAGGGCTTTCTGTTGGCCTCGTTGAATCTGCGCTCTCACTCTTTGCTCTTTGAGTCCCGGAGAGCAGCGAGCGCCCAAGAGCGCCCAATGCCCCAACCAAAGCCCGGGTCTTTCTGCTCTCGGCCGCTTTCAGGGCCTGCTTCATCACCGATGGGGGGGCATGTATGCAGAGCGAGAACTACCCCAACCGTTACGTCAACGATGATGGCGCCAACGGCAAAGGTTGGCATGGGGGTGAGGGAGACTGAAGAGAGAGGGGGGGGGGGGGGGGGGCCCTTGAGACCACCTAGTGGTATCATGTCAAGCTCTCTGAAGGATTTTGCGTGTCCAGGGCTTCTTTATGTCAGATTCGGATCCTGGAGGCTTCGGGGTGCTGAAGCTCGGGCCGCTCTTTGGGGGGCAGAGATCACATACTCCCGTGGGCTCCCCTCTAAACCTAGCGGCCTAGCCCAAGTCTCTGAGTTTCTGCGCGCAGAATGCACCATCAGCCCCAGTGCGGACAACAACAAGGCCGGACCCAGGTGTGACTTGGTGTGCTGTTGGAGTTGAAGGACCGGGCTGCGAAATCTCCTCATGTCGGGAAGGAGCTTCGAATTCGAAATTGCAGCCTTGAAGTTGCCAAAAAGAGGTGTTAAAGGGGGGGTCGCCGGACCTCAAGGTCTGCTGCCTTCGTGCGTTCGGTGGACGGAGACGGGTTGTGGAATGAGTGTTGTGGGATCTCTGTCAGCTGGATGCTCGATTGTTTGCAGTACCTCTTGAGAGCAAATTGGTGGCTCGGGAAGTTCCTTTCTTACATGACGCGCAAGTCGAAGACTACGAAAGGCCATCCGCGTGGTGGCCTACAGCACAGAGCCCTGTTGTGACTACATAAGAGGCTTGGCTATAATGGGGGGAGATTAGTGTAAAAGGGCTGGGGAAGTTGGGGGCAAAAAAAGAATCATTCTACCCTAAACCCTAAACCCTAAACCCTAAACCCTAAACCCTAAACCCTAGACCCTAGACCCTAGACCCTAAACCCTAAACCGCCTAAACCCTAAACCCTAAACCCTAAACCTTCCGACTCGCCAGCTAAGGGATGGAAGGCACAGACTACTCCGGCCCCCAGTTCCAAAGCACAACATGGGGAATTCCGGACAATGGCTCCGCGGCAGAATCTTGGGAGTTGTTGTGATCAGTGACGAGTTCAAATACCCTTCTTCATGGCATGGCATGTACGCAGCCATTGCAGGTTTCCCGGATTGCCTTTTGTTTCGGGGCCGGGGAATGGCTTGGGGTTGGAGCAAGTTCCGATTCGGGCCGAGATTTGCAAGGGTTTTGGGTTTTGTTGTGGCGGTTCTGAAGAGTTTTGACCGTATGACATGGGTATTTCCCAAAATAGGGGTACCCCTTCTATACCCCAAATTTTTCAGAGACCTTAGACAACTAACAAAGCACAGATATTGCACACACACACATATAAATAACCAGATAAATATATAAATATAGATATATGTATTTATATTTGTCTTTATATTCATGATAATGTTTATATTGTTATTTATACATCTGTTTATATTTATACTTATACTTATGCTTGGTCACACCCCCCTCATGATGCATACGAACATATTAATTCTGTGAAATCAAGCATATATATATATATATATATATACATATGTACATAAGAAAAACACATATAAGAATATATTCATTATTGTTATTTGCTTCCGGGCTGTTGCAAAAAGCAGTTTCTTTCCACGCTGGCACACAAAAAGCCCTGCCTGGCTCCTGTGACGCCGAGTGACGTTTCTGTGTTTTTTTTGTGCGTGGAACGGGGCGGACCTTTGGGCTCTTTTTTTTTTTGGGGCTTAGGGTTTAGGGTTTAGGGGTTTAGGGTTTAGGGTTTAGGGTTTAGGGTTTAGGGATGCACGCTCCGTGGCCCCAAAGCCAGGACTTGCTTCGGTTCTCATCTTTGCATGCGTTCAGGGAGCTCCAGTTCCCGTTTTCTGGTATGTTCGTCAGGTTTTTGTCGTGGTCTCAGGTTGTATGTGTTCAGTGATCCACCTCCCACAGCTCGGGATGGGCAACTTGTTTTATGCTCTTTTTGGGCTCTCGGTTCGCGGAGGCATCGTTCCAACGAGCGATATCCAGTGGTTCCTCGCTGCTTGGGCTGCCACGAAGCCCCGCAAGCCTCAAACAGGGGGCGTTTCGGGTTTAGGGTTTAGGGTTTAGGGTTTCGGATTTACGCCTTCCATGTAACGGGCCGGGCTTTAGTCCCAAACTTCGTTCCTTTCAGGGGACTTCGAGTTGCAGAATGATCGCCTCGGAGAAGGTCCCCATTCTCTCAACGTCTTTTGCAAAGGTTTAGGGTTTAGGGTTTAGGGTTTAGGGTTTAGGGTTTCGGGTTTCGGGTTTAGGGTTTAGGGTTTAGGGTTGCCCTAAACCGCAGATTGGGATGTGCTTGCTCATCAAGCTCAGGTTAATCAAGTTTCTGAGTGTTTGCCCTAAGGCCCAAGCCGCGCAAGGCTCGCAACTCCAACGAACCTCCACAGCTTTCCGCTCAGTTACCCGGATTGTTCTTTCCGTAACCCTAAACCCTAAACCTTAAACCCTAAACACTAAACCCTAAACCCTAAACCCTAAACCCTGAACCCCCACCAAGCTTTTGTGCTGCGTCGGTCAGGATGCCAAAAACAGTTGGTATGGCTGGCGGATTTGCTTGGAGGACGGGAGAGCTAATTGGAGCCAAGTCCTGCACCTTAAATTCTCCCCAAACTCCCAAAACCGGCGAAAGGGTTTAGGGTTTAGGGTTTAGGGTTTAGGGTTTAGGGTTTAGGGTTTAGGGTTTAGGGTGAAACTCCTAAACCCCAAACCCCAAACCCGAAAGAAACCCTAGACCCTCAACCCGTGAGGCATTCGGAGCTTTCGGGTCTGGGGGTATGCGGGTGTACACCAACAGCCCCCCTCGCACTCCCCGAAACTCAACAACTCTGAAAGTCCCCTGAGCCTCCTGTATGAACCTCTTGCTCCCTTACAGGGTTTAGGGTTTAGGGTTTCAAGACCCAAAGCCTGAACCCTAAACCCAATCCCTAATCCCTAATCCCAAATCCCTAATCCCTAATCCCTAAACCCTAGACCCTAGACCCTAGACCCTAAACCCTAAACCCTAAACCCTAAACCCTAAACCCTAAACCCTAAACCCTAAATCGCAAAACCCGAAACCTTAAAGCTTTCAACCCCAAGTTCCTGTAAAATGGCACAGCCTGTGAGGACGCGGCTCCCGGGAGTTGGGCGGAGGCCCCTCCCAGTTGTGATTTTGCTCCCTCGTGCGTTGGGATGGGTTGTGGGGTTTAGGGTTTAGGGTTAAACCCTAAACCCTAAACCCTAAACCCTAAACCCTAAAACCCTAAACCCTAAACCCTACACCCCTAAACCCTAAGAAGATCTGAGAACAAGTCCCCTGCTTCGGGCCTCCCACCCCAAAGAGTCCCTCAAAAAAGAGTCCTGCGGGAGAGGAGGTCAAGAGTCCGTAAGCTCGAACCTTGAACGCTTCCGGGATTTTGTCTAACCCGAAACCCGAAACCCGAAACCCTAAACCCTAAACCCTGAGCCCTAAACCCTAAACCCTAAACCCTAAACCCTCACACCCTAAACCCCTGTGTGTTTTAGCTGCTTGATGTTTAGGCCGAGTCTGCATCCATATGCCCCTAGTTCTTGGCTAGCAGAGGGAGCTTGAACGTAACATTTCCCAAAGGAAGTGCAACGGCTCCTTCTGCTCCCTCTGTCTCTTCAATAGCACAATGACAAACCGTTCCAGACCTTTCTGCTTTGAAAGAGCAGCGTTGTGCGAGACTCTAAGCATACCCTACAGAAGACAAAGTTGAAGAGTCTGTCATTGCTGTTCATGGTGCACACACGATGGCTCTGAACATGTTTAAGATCATTCACCAGGGAAGCTACGTATGGCTTCGGTTTGATGGTTTAATGGTTTCATGGTTTAGCGGTTCAAAGGCTCAATGGTTGAGGTATTCCCACAAGGAGGAGCCTTTCTTTGGCTGGTTTAATGGTTTACTGCTTAGTGGTTTATTGGAACGTGCAAAAACGCCACGGGAACCGCCAGGTGGTGACCCACATGTGTATACATATTTTTCCGCACACAGATATACAGTTATTTTGACATACCCATACACATCTGTTATGTTGCACATACACACACTAATATATGTGTATATATATATATATATGTGTATGTCTGTATCTATATCTATATCTGTATCTATATCTAGATCTATATCTATTTCTATTTCTATTCACATTTCTACTTCTTTTTCTATCTCGATTTCTATATCTATATATATATATATATATATATGTATATATGCGCCCGCGTTCCGCGTAATCGACCCCCCCCCCCCCAATGGTATCCCCCCACCCCCCCCCCGGCAACCCCCCACCAAACCCTGCCTGTTAACCCTAAAAACACCACGGACCACGGGGGGGGGGGGGGAAAGAGAAGCCTCAGCCTAAACCCCAAACCCTGAACCCCAGCCCTAAAACTTAAACCCACCAATGAACGACGGGAGGGAGAAGGGTAAACCCGAAATCTTTGCTGCTTTAATTCTGAACCCTCAACCGTAAACCCAGCACGAACCACAGGGGGGGAGAGGGGAAACCGTAAACCTATCATTACCCCGAACCTTGAACCCAAATCAAACTCTAAACCCACAGTGAACCAATGGACCAGAGGGAAAATCCTGAACCCTAAAGCCTGACCCTAAACCCCCTAAACCCTAACCCCTAACCCATGAACCACAGACCATGAACCACAGGGGGGGGGGGGGGGATACCATGGGGGGGGGGGGGGGGGGGGGGGGGCGCCTATGCTGGCCCATATATACATCAAAGCAATTAATGAACAATCAATCAATCTGTATATATATATATGTACATATATATTATGTACATGTTCGAGATAGATGATGATGCATTGTATATGCTATTCACATCTATATTTTCGTGTACGGCAATTGGTTATACATGATTATATATCAGTACGTGCTACGAGCGTATAAGAGAAAATAACGACCACGTGCTGTTGCATTATGTTGCAAGTTCTTTTGTGACTTGGCTACTGCTTCTGATATCATTCGCAGCCTGACGCAGGTCACGAGCACCACGGGCGCACGGCGGTCGCACGCCTTGGTGAGCCGGTTGCAAATGGGGAGGTGGTTTTTTTTTGAGTCGTTGGTGCCTTGTTGTTTTCGACTCCTGGGTTCAGATTGTGGGGGCTCAGGGTTGAGGGTTGATTAGAGTGTGTTGCTCGAAGCCTTGTAGAGCGCGTCGGGGTTGGATGGTATACGGGAGGGGAGGGTCACTGCGGGGTTCAAGCAAAGGACCCTGCGGAGTAGGCGGGACACGAGGTACGGGACGGGAGGGACCCTTGCGGGGTGCGACAGATGATGCTCACGTTGCTAGTTACTGCTAGTTCTTGTTGCAACGGACCTGCAAGCCTCCAGCTATCTCAAGCTCAAAGACCCCAAGCCTTCCTCGTTTGCTCTTTGAGGCGTCTAGGAACCCAAAAAGCCCAATACCCCTTAATTTTAACGCTACGCGACCCGCCTCGGCCTGGCCCAGCGCAGCGCCCGGCGCACGTTCGCGCCGCCCGCGGCCGCACAGGGTCACATAGGCGTCCAGGGCTGTGCACGTAGCTTGCCTCGGGCTCGGCGAGCATGGCGCGGCTGTGCTTCCACGGGCGCTCCCCTTAGGGATTAGGGTTGAGGGTTGAGGGTTGAGGGTTGAGGGTTTGAGGGTTTGAGGGTTTGAGGGTTTGAGGGTTTGAGGGTTTGAGGGTTTGAGGGTTTGAGGGTTTGAGGGTTGAGCGCTTAGGGCTTAAGGTTTAGGGTTTAGGGGTTTAGGGGTTTGTTAGCTTCGAGTTCAAGGTTCAAGCTTAGACTCTTCGGCTCGTGCACCAGTTGAGCCTCGGGGCCCTCAAGCCAGCGCGTCGCGGAAAACGCTCCGCCTTTCACGAAGATCCTCTTCTGGCTTTGGGAGCAGGGTAGGGGGGGGGATAGGGGGGGTGTGTAGGGGTGTGGGGGAGGATTTGGAGGGGGGTGCCTGTTCTCACAACCTATACACCTTCGGCCCCAGGCCTCGGCGGATTAAGGAGTCTTCCTTAACTTCTAAACAGGGATCCTTATTATGTTGGGAATATTCCTTCATTAAGGGGTATTGGGCTCTTTGGGAAGTTGGGGTGTCTCCGGCCAAGGTTGCCATTGCAAGCGCCCTGTATATTCACGGAGGACAAAGCGACAGCCGCTTGGCGCGCTAAGGCAGCTGCGCAGTCTCTGCGCGGAGATTTTGTCTTCAAGCATGGAGACGCCACAGAAAGCCTGGCAACGGTTGCAAGTCCATCCCAGAAGCCAAAAAACCCCTCCCCTGTATGAAGAACCCAGTTCGAGAAAACAGGTGGGACGTCGGGGATATACAACGATCTTTGGAAGTTCGAGAGGGGTGTGCCTGGGCCAGAAGTCTAGAAGCTTATCTTTTTTTGGGTGCTGTTGTGTTTTTATTTATTTATTATTATTATTATTATCATTTTTTTTTTTTTGGGGGGGGGGGGGTTGGTTGAGTTCGGCTCCAATTGATCTTGACTTGAGAGCAGTCACTAGCAATTCAGTGCTGGCAACAGCTTTTCAACCCTCCTCCAGTCGGTTTCTCGTTGACATCTGCCCTTGGCAGAATTTCAAGGCTACTCGTGATTCGGAAGCTTGAATTGAATTTCAAGATAAAGACACGTCGGTCACATCGTTGTAGAGGAGACAGATTCACACAGAACCTCAACAAGAGCCTCAAACAGTTTGCAGTGACTTGAAGCCAAAGAAGTCGCGAGCGTCTTTGTTACGATTGAATGTACACACCCAGACACCGTCCCAGAATTCCCTAGTCCGGTAGGCCCCAAAACTATGAAATCTAGTCGGACCCCCCTTCCTGTGCTCCAAGTCTGCTAAGCCCTGTCAGGCATGGACGCAAGTATCGTTTACTGGAACAAATCCTCAGCTTCTGGGCGCTGGGGGCTTGCGGGCTTTGGCGTAGGACATTGTGGGTTTTACGTTTCGGAATCTCATCAAGAAGCTTAACGTTCTGTGGCACAGTGGAGAAGCACAACTCCGAGACACATGTTCTCTCCAGACCGGTTGCTGTTCCTGTTCGCCTTATTGCGAGTCGGAACCTGCTGGCACAGTGCAGAGCAACGATTGGGAGCTTGAGAAGCTCGGGATTCTGTTGTAATGGTAATTTGCCTACGCAGTCCATCTGCTGCACCAAGCAAAGATGTTTGCCATGGATTGGGTGTAAAATCGCAAGCTGCAGGTATTTGCCATGGGTTTGAGGTAGAAGTAAGTATGAGTAGATGTGGGCGGCGTGGCCATGTTCGGATAGGTCTTTGTCAGTGGTGGTTCATTGAGTTTGAATATGTCTCTGTCCAGCCGGTTCACGAACCCTTCAAGCCTCTGTATTTCTCTACCTCATATTCTGATCGTCATCATGATTATTATCATTATTACTATTGTTGTCATTGTTACTACTTACTCCTACCCAAGGGTCAGAGCGCCAGTGACACGTCGCAAGCCCCCGGTGGGCTCGAGGTTGACTGCCCACGTGGCCGTCTACAATCCGGTTGGCCTGACCATTCTGCTGTGGGGGGGAATCGCTCCTTGGCCTCAGCAGCCTTGAGAAAGTTGGGCTCGGGGGTCTTGGACCTCCCCCCCCCTATACCGTTCGACCCCCCTTACACACCCCCTTTACACCCCCCTTGTACCTCCCCGACACCCCCTGAGACCTCCCTTAGACCCCGGAGGGCTGAGGCTTGCAGTGGAGGGGGCCCAGCCAGAGTGGGATGCCCTTTCTGTATCCATCAGCTACGCTGCACCGCTGCTTCTCCATGAGTTTCGAAAAGAGCGCATCTCGACCATCCTGAGCCCCCCCCTAACTTCGCTTTTAGCAGCCAGAAAGCTGCGCGCCCAGAAAGCTGCAGAAGGAAGTCTGCGGGGGTCCTTCCCTGACACTTCGGCTTCGGGTTTAGGGGCGGAAGCTAGAGGCGAACGTACAGCAATGTCGCGTGATGTTGCATGGGCCTTGAAAAGGTTCTGCATTCGGTGCATTTGGGGGGGTAAAAGCTGCGAACCTCGCGCCAAGAAGCAAGCTCCGGAAGCATGGTGGCTTTTTAATGCTATTTAGGGTTTGGGGTCCAACGTGCGATCCCGATGTTTCCACGCCTGCTAGACCGGTAACGTAAATTCGCCACAATGCTGCACCGAAGGATAACACAAATGCCTGGAATGACAACTTGTATTCCTACGACACCCAGGTGCGTGGTGCGTTTTGGCTTGTTCAGCTCTTTCCTTGAAGGTTTACTGTTGGTTTAGGGTTTAGGGTTTAGGGTTTAGGGTTTCCTTGAAAGTTTTGGGTAAGTTAATCATCTGCACTGAAGGTCTGAGAGTTGAGGGTGGGGGGGGTGCTGAGATCCCAGCTTGTTCCGAGTCTAACATTCTTTGCGCTTGCTGTTTGACATTCTTTCTGCCCAATTCCCAAACTCTGTGTCCTCAACCCTAAACCCAAACCCTAAACCCTAAACCCTAAACCCTAAACCCTAAACCCTAAACCTTAAACCCTAAATCTAAACCCTAAACCCTAAACCGTCCCACAAGCTGTCTGGCAGATGAACCAGATGAGCTTGGTGTCCAGTTCCAGCGGGACCGCGCCAACGGCCGCCTCCCACGCTTCAGCAGCGGCTCGGTTCAGAAACCACGGTGTGAATCTCGGTTGAGGGTTTAGGGTTTAGGGTTTAGGGTTTAGGGGGCTCTCCTCGTAGTAGTGAAGATGGAGGTTCGGCGCTTTCGGTTTCAAGCTGGTAAGCCCAAGCCAATCCGCCCCAAACCTCACCAGTTGACTTGCGCACGCGTTTCGAAGGTGTACTCGAGCGTCAACACGTGACTCGGCGGATCTCTGACATTTTCTTTCTTTTGGGTCTCTGTCCTTCTTTGAAATCCGACTTCCGAGCAATAGCACCCAAACAGCAAAGCCTCAACATCATTCCAGCTCGAGCGAGGTGTATGCTGATTTTCGGGGGGCAGCAAGGCGCCACCTTGTACCGATCTCTGCATTGCTACGACGTCACGGCACGCCCGGCTGGTGTTCAGGATGTAAAATCTATAAGAGGGTGTATGTCGAAGGAAGTGCACCGTCGAGAGCATATTTCGTGCTCTGCCTCACAAAGCTCCGTAGCACAGGGTCTACAGCATCAAACCTTAGGACAAGAGAGCAATCGACACGTTTCGGCCTTTGCAAGTTTGTAAGCACATGCTTCACCTTTCCTAAGAAAGTCGAGGGTCCCAAGGAGATTGACAGGTTTAGGTCCAGCGGGATCTTGGGAAGAGTTTTGATCTTTAGTTTTCGTTTGCCAGCAGTGGGTCCATGCTAGGGGTCCCATTTGGGAGGGGGCGGGGAGTGGGATGAGGCGAGTACTGCAAGGTGGATGCTCTAGGGACACTCGGCGGGGCTCTGCAAGCTTCTCTGGGGTCTACTCCAAGACTTCCAAGGAATATTGTTTCAGAATATGTAGTCATGCTTCGGTGCCTGTGGGCTACCATTCCTGCAAACCCGATTTGTTTTCGGATGAAACCGAGTCCAAAACCTTGCACGTTCCCTCGCCACTAAAGTAATGTCGCTACAGCCAGACCTTACTCCCATACTTTCGACGAGGTACTGCTTAAGAATCATCACTCTTCGAGTGCCCGTGGGGTGTAGGCCTAAGCCATATTCCTGGAAGCCTTGTTCGTGGAAGGTGTAGGCTGACACGTTTAGGGTTTAGGGTTTAGGGTTTAGGGTTCCAAAGCCTCACACTTCCCCTAGCCGCTAAAGAAACTTCACTAAACATGGGGAGATAGAGTGTTGAATGGCTTTTCCCAGTGGATCACTTTCTAAGCGCTATTGGTCTAGGCCCAAACAATTTTCCCAGTGGATCACTTTCTAAACGCTATTGGTCTAGGCCAAAACAATCTAAGCCTTTCTTCCTAAAACCTAAAGCATAGTCCTGACCATTGTTTCTTGGCTACTTAACACCTCAACTCGAGTACTAATACCTGCAACCAGAATTTCCCCAGACATTGAGCTTCCCTCAACACTACAGAATTGGCGATTTTACATAAAAGCTGCTTCACAGGTTAAGCCAATTCCCTAGCCTGTAAATACCTCCCCAAAGAACTTCCCTACCCGCAGTTGAGAGGAACAGATTAACAGATATGAAAGGGTGGACATCCTTACTCACCTTGTTCATATTCATTCAGTTTTTGAATAAAGGGCGGGCCCCGGACCACTTAAGATTCAAGACGCTCAGCGAACCTTTTTTTGAATCTTGAATCCAGAGAACGGTTCTTAAGCGTCTTGAATCTTGAGGGTTGAAGAGCAAGTGAGTAATCAACGTGAAGGAGGATGGTTGATCCCCTCCTCCCTCCTCAAAGCGCCCCACGTGGAAATCATGTTTAGGGTGTGTCTTGCAGCAAAGAAGTAATTCGTTGCAGAGAGTAGTATGACAGTTATTGGTGTACGAGTAAGTCGCTGTACCTACATATAGTAATGTCGAAACGATTGAGGTGCCAAGCCCTGGGATCCAGGACACAAGCTCAGGACCTTCTGAAGGCATGTGGACCAGGATTGAACAGATTGAACAGATCGAAGTTTCAATCCGGCCCGGGATCCAAGATCCAAGATTGTCAGGCGGTCTTGTGGACAGTATCTTGGATCCCACAGCCACTGGCCGCAGTGGGATCCAAGGTTCTCTGTACGACTCCCACAATCTTGAATCTTGGAGATTGAAATTTCACCCTTTTCGCTCTTGCGGTGTAGTTCATTCATGTCAGAAGGATGGTGGAGTGTTCTTGGAAAATGAACATGCTGGGGTGTGATGGCAAGCAGATGGTGGGACAGCCTTGACGGTGGGTTGTGCTGGGGGGTACCATATATATATATATATCCGTATATATATATATATATAATATCCGTATATATATATATAGAGAGCTCTCTGGTTTCATGTTTTCCTTCGATGCATGCATCTTTGTGCCAGAAGGAATGCTACGAAAAGCGCGCCGCTCACACTTGCAAGGAACTGTTAGTCTGCCTGGCCAGGATCACGAACGCTACTTAAAGCATGCTTTGTTGAGGACAGACATCAATACATAGATTTGTGAAGCAGTCATGAGTTGATGGGCCTGGGAGATCTCTGCTCTCACAGCCAGCCATCCGTGAGCTCCTCACCGCAAACCCGGTTGAAAAGAGCACGAGCAAACGAGCAACACCGTACCCTTTCTGATGTTTTGGACTGTTGTGGGTTAGGGCCTAAACCCTAAACCCAAACCCCAAACCCCAAACCCCAAACCCCAAACCCCAAACTCCAAACCCCAAACCCCAAACCCCAAACCCTAAACCCTAAACCCTAAACCCATTTCTGCGAGCCTGGAGCTTTGCTTGGCCAGGCCGACGCGTGGATCAGCAAGAGCGAGGACAGCTCGATGGAGCCGCGAAACGCGGCCACAGCTGTGGTGTTTCCTGGCTCGGTTGGGGGTTTAGGGTTTAGGGTTTAGGGTTTAGGGTTTAGGGTTTAGGGTTTAGGGTTTAGGGTTGAGGGTCCAAGGTTGTGGTGTGAAGAGCTTCGGGCTTGTAAGGTGTGGAGAGGCAGCTAAAGTAGCTTCCAGTGCGAGTTAAGTCCTTCTTGGCCAGCAGTAGCTTGCCGGTTCTCATGACACCTGCCTTTATGACCCTAAACCCTAATCCCTAAACCTTAAACCCTAAACCCTCAACCCTGCGAGTATCGTCATTGTAGGGGGAACACATGTGGCGTTTTCACGGTCTTAGTCAGGAAGTCCCCAAATCGCTCGCCTTCCGAGAATGAACCAAGCCTCGCGTCCTGGCAATGAGTTTAGGGTTTAGGGTTTAGGGTTTGGGGTTTAGGGTGTAGGACTTTAGTGCCGAGGAATTCGGATGAGACAGTGATGTACGTCTACGGTGGCCAAAAAGCTGATGCTCGAAGCATATGGGGGCCACAAAGCCCAAAACCCAAGGAGCGGTTTGCAATCGCCAGGTCAGAGTTGCTTTCTGAGAGCAGATTAAGGCTCGCTTGGGTTCAGGACGGTCCAAGGCCTTTTGGCAGGGTCAGCGGTTGTAACCCTAAACCCTAAACCCTAAACCCTACACCCTAAACCCTGAACCCTGAACCCTAAACCCTAAACCCTAAACCCTAAGGCTTAGGCCGCCCCCCTACAGTTGGGGGTCGGCGCCTGAGCCTGTCGACCTCGATGGCGCAAGCCGACCCAGGTCGTTCGCCCGCCCCCCACAGCTCGGTAGCACCCACAGTACTTCTCCTCGGGTGCTGGTCCCGTACTCACGCCCTCACCCGACCCCCTTGGGACTTTCTTGGGAACCTGCCTACCCTGGACCCCTCCCCTCCACACTCGGGTCAGGCCCCCCCCCCGCCCCGAAACCCCCTGACACGAGACACCCTGCGACAGAAGAAGTTTTTGGAAGTGGGCGGTTGGCTTGAGTTTAGGCCTAAACCCGAAAAGGAATAGGTTTGGGTGGTTTTGCCGCCTGAGACGCCGGATCGGGCCATGGCGCCCTTCGCATTGCTCGATTCCTTCAAGGCTCTGCTGAAACCGTCACATTTACAGCTTGTACGCCATACTGCAGCAAACCCTAAACCTGAAACCCTAACCCCTAAACCCTAAACCCTACACCCTCACAGTATTTAGTAGCTTTTTGGGTTCATGCAGTTCTGTGCTGTGGTTGCTTTGGTTGCTTGGCCAAAGTTTTTCCGCCGCGACTTTGATTGCATGGCCCAGACAAGGCGCTCTTTAAGTAAAGGGGAGCCCAGCTCACAGGAGACACTTAAAGATGACTCCAGTTGCCCCCCCAAAAACCTCGAGAGAGAGCCCTAAACCCTAAACCCTAAACCCTAAACCCTAAACCCTAAACCCTAGACCCTAGACCCTAAACCCTAAACCCTAAGCTCTCAACCCTAAACCCTAAACCCTAAGCCCTGAGCCCTAAGCCCTAAGCCCTAAACCCTAAACCCGAAACCCGAAACCCTAAACCCTAAACCCTCGAGACAAAGGAAACATACATTGTAGTTGGTATCATTCTGAAACTCCAAGTTTTGGAAGCTCCAAGTTTTTGTCTAAACAGCTGCCCCCAAAAGAACCTAATATCGAAAACCAGAACATTTCGCTCAAAACTTCTCGCTCAGAACGTTGTTGGGACCCAAACCCTACACAAGTTCTACAAACCCTAAACCCTAAACCTTAAACCCTAAACCCTAGACCTCAAACCCTAAACCCTGAGCCCACTTTAAGATGACAAGATGCCAAGCTCTGCAAAACGCACCGAGGATTTGAGTATTCTGGAAGAGTTGTGGAGCTACGACGTCGGGGCCGGGACGATTTGAGAGACTTCCTTCGGTCATTCCTTGGGTAGGGCTTTTAGGGTTTTAGGCTTTTTAGGGGTTTTTAGGGTTTTTAGGGGTTTTTAGGGTTTTTAGGGTTTTTAGGGTTTTTAGGGTTTTTAGGGTTTTAGGGTTTTTAGGGTTTAGGGTTGAGGGGTTTAGGGGTTTAGGGCAGGCTAGGTGTTTGGCCTGTGGCTTTGTGGGTACCTGCCAGTATCGGGGCTTCGATGGAGGACTCAGGGAGGCCAAAGTCAGAAGGAAATTACGGTATTATACAAAAAAGCAACAAAGGAATTAGTTACCACGTAACATCAACACATATGTATCTGTAAGAAGTACCTTTGTGTTATGTGTCGAAAGAGTGGTATGTATCAAGCAATGCTTCTTCCACGTCATCAAGAGCCCGTGAGCCCGGTACTAGCGCGCCTTATGCCTGGCCCTCGGGCGCCCCGATAATCCTAAGCCGCTTGTGGATGCAAAAAAGGGTTACCAGGAGATAAGGCAGGTACATGGCAGAAACAGGACCTGCAAGGTACTCGATGTTTTGTTCAAACTGCACAGAATGTTTTCCAACTCTTCGCGAGGTTCATACTGGAGATGTTCGCAGAAAACATCATGTACGCGTTGCATTTCTGCCCTTACACCCAAACCCTAAACCCTAAACCCTGAACCTTTCCAAAGCAAACCTGCCCTGAAGGGCCGGTTTTAGGGACCCCATGTGGGCTGATAGACAACCCTTGGGCTCTTGAGACCCCTGCTTAGAAGGCATGTGGGAACAGGGGGGAAACTGGAACACCGAACCAGGCAGATTCTTGGACGCGGCTCTATCCATTTTCTTGGGGCCCGGGTGCAAGACAGTCGCACCTGGCCGCCTGGACGGGAGCACCTCGGGCTCCGCGTTTGCTGCGTTCGGCTAAGGGTTTAGGGTTTTAGGGTTTAGGGTTTAGGGTTCAGGGTTTAGGGTTTAGGGTTTAGGGCGCCTGGACTTCTGCACAGTGTTTCGGACTGGAGCTTTGGCCTGGAGGTTCGTGCTTTTGGCAACACAGAAACCAAAGTAGGATGAGGACCTTGCAGTACGGGTTCAGCACCCCTTCTACTTAGAGTCGTGAGGGTGTTTCTCACGGGTTTAACAGTTTGGGGAATTCATGGACCCTGGCATTTAAAAGCGGCGAACAAGGACTGCATGCTCATCTTCGGCGGCAAATCTGTGGACAGCGAGAAAGTCTGGTGCTACAACCCATCAGCCTCTTGGTCCGGGCTTAAGAAATTACGTTTTTCTTGTAGAGAGAGAGAGAGAGAGAGAGAGAGAGAGAGTCATGGCTAGGCCAGCATTCGGGCGTTTGGGTTTGGATTTGCCTAACGTTCTGTCGGAGGCACGCTTTCACATCCCGGATCTCTCAACCCTTTATTGGGTTTCGAGGGTTTCTAACCCCTGCAAAGACCCCACATGGTACCCCGAAGCAGAGGAGAACAAGTGGGTCGTGGACTGGGCTCCAGGACTGCGGCGCATGATGCCTGTGACAGTTGGTTGTTTGTTTGTTTGTTTGTTTGTTTGTTTGTTTGTTTGTGTTTTTTTTTTTTTTTTTGTGTGTGTGTGTGTGTGCGCGCGCGCGCGTGTGTGCGTCTTCGCGTGTGCGCGTGTGCGCGTGTGCGCGTGTGCACGTGTGCGCGTGTGCGCGTGTGCGCGTGTGCGCGTGTGCGCGTGTGCGCGCGTGCGCCAGTGTGCGCCAGTGTGCGCGCGTGCGCCAGTGTGTGCGCGTGTGCGCGCGCGTGCGCGTGCGTGTGCGCGTGTGCGCGTGTGCGTGCGCGTGCGCGTGCGTGCGTGCGTACGTGCGCGTGTGCCCCCGCATATGCGTGCACGCGCGTGTGCGTGCGCGTCGCATGTCCGTGTGCCTGTGCCAGTGCCTGTGCGTGTACCTTGGCGTGTGCCCGTGAGCGTGCGCGCGTGCGCGTGCGACAAGGACTGCAACGGTGCCTTCCATTGTGGGCTTCCGCGCGTGGGTTTTGGTGGAGTTCTGAAGAATAGCTGCAGCTCCGATCGACCGAAAACAAAGAGCAAAGGTCGTAGCTCGAGGCTCGAGGAGCCGGAGCCCAGACAGCAGTACTCCGTTCCGATCCATCCGTCCATGCAAAGAAGCAGCGGAAAAGCAATCTTCTGCAGCGAAACACTTCCAAACAAAAGTGTCGAGTTGCAACGCGCTTCGCCGCGAATTCTGCAGCTTGCAGCACGCCTCTCTTCAGCGCCAACCTCGCACCACTCGATTGGACACATATGAAGCCCCCCCCCCGGCAACGTTTCGCCACAAGCCGTCTCAGGAGGCACCCCACCCAACGCTGGCACCGAGCTGATGCAGCGCCTTTGCTTGGCTTAGTGACTTCGTGCTTAGGCCTCTGATTCGTGGTTGCCCCGCAGCTGATCCCGAGTAGTCCTCAGCCTTTTTGCAGTCAAACTAAGCATTGCAAAAGCCAAACTTCAGGGTCTTGTAGCTGGGGAGGGAAGCCATTTCCCAGCATTTGGTTCGACTTAGTCTGCCAATCATTCGAGTTGGAGTTTTTTGGGTGCGAAGTTTACGCTGCAGGGCGGATGTAAACAAGCACAGCTTAGGCCTTGCAAAGTTGGGCTTGAACTGCAAAAACAACTCCTGCAAGAGGAGTATGAGGGCTTTTGAAGGCAGCGGAAGATGTCAGCAGGGGTTGTACGCTCTTCATGCGGGTGAAAAGCTTTCGAGATCCGAAGCTTCACTGCTGCAAGTCCTTCTTTCTGCCATGCAGAGAACTGACCCTTGCAAAGAAGACTCGTTCAGTTCTCATGGGGGTTGGACGGGTCCTCATTATAAGGGGATCCTACTGTTTGGGGGTCCATATCAGGGATCCCCTGTTTTCGTCAACCTCCCATTTGAACCGAGGATGAGAGGGGCTCGTATCGGCTCGACGCTGTACATGTCCGGCGGGATGGTCAGCACAGCCTCGACTGCGTGCCGCCAGCTGCATGGTGGTGCCGGGAAGTGCGGCGAACTTTGCCCTTGCAAACCCCACAGAAAGCCCGAAAGCCCGACAACCCGAAAGGTTACCAACCTTCGAAGAGACGAAGCAAGAAAAAAGACGGAGCGCAGGGGAAGAGCAAACCTTTTGAAGCACAATTTTTGCAAGGTTTCTGATGTTCTGTAGTTCACTGGATGGGTCCCCAGAGACTCCTCAATTAAGGAATGTTCCTTGCACCATGTAAGGAACCCTGCTATAATTTAGGGAGTATTCCTTAGTTAAGGGGTATTGGAGTCCCTGAATTTGGGGGGGCTGCAGGTTTGACAAGACCTGGAGCTACACGCTCTCCGGACTTTTTGAGGCCGGGAGATCAGTGCTTGTAGCAGCCCCTGGTCAGTTTCCGGGCTTCCCGTTTAGGGTTTAGAAGGGTTTAGGGTTTAGGGTTTAGGGTTTTCGGATGTTCAAGATCCTAAGCCCTAAGCCCTAAGCCCTAAACCCGAAACCAGAAACCTAAACCGGACCCTAAACCCCAAAACCCTCTCGAGCCCTAAGGCCACGCCCGAAAGCCCCAACAACCGTGGTTTCCTGTCCAGGCCCATCATCTTGCTGGGGGACTTATGTGGGGTTCATAGATTTTAGGGTTCATCGGGTTTAGGGTTTAGGATTTAGGGTTTAGGCCTCCCCCTCACTTCAAAGGTGGCTCTAAAAAGGCATCAAGGGCTCAGCGCATTCGCTTTTTGCGGCGTGCAGACAAGTTGCCGTGTGAGCCTGCGCCAGACAGGATCGTGTCTTGACCTCATGTCCTAAAGCTGAGAGGCAACAGTTTCGACACTTTTGACATGTTTTTTGCGTTTTTGTCAGCAGAAACATTAGGAAATATACGCTTTTGCAAGTGTGGGTGGAGGGGGCCGCCCCACCCCCCTCCCCCCAACCCTCCTTCTGTCCAGACGAAGTAGAAGCAATGTAGAGGATTTCCTAGACAAAAACAGAGGTAGCAGAGGTTTCCTATTCAGATACAGAAGATATAGAGGTTTTCCAAGGAAGCAATAGAGGCAGTATAGGTTTTCCTAGTAAAGAGCTCTGGACCAACCAAACAGAGAGGACCAACATGCAAAACAAGGAGGACCAACTCCATCCTGCAACGTGTGCTACTCGCACAGATTCAAGCCGTGTACCCCAAGACCGCATGCAGGGTTTAGGGTTTAAGGTTTGGGGTTTAGGGTTTGAGGGTTTAGGGTTTAGGGTGCAGGGTTTAGCTGAAAGGCCGACGTGTCTGAGGTATCTCGGGGCTCTTGGGAAGCAATGCGTCTTCAATCCTTGCTTAGGGGCCTCCCCTGCCCAGGCGACCACAGTCCAGGCCGGGACAGGGCAAGCAGCGTTTACTTGAAGGTTCATGGGTCGTTATAAGTGGGATTTTAAAGTAGGGCAACTGGTTATACCCTTATGTAGGGTACTTAAAACCCCACGTCTAACTACCACGAACCTCCAAGTAGGGGGGTCTCTTGGGTTGAATTCCAGACTTCGGGACCTGTTTCGCCTTGATTCAAGACGTGGCGTCGGGCGAATCCGAGCCGGGTGGTATGAGTGCTTGCGACCTTCATGCGCTTTCTGGCCATACCGAACTATACAGAAGCATACAGAACCACACAAGGACCATACAACGCCACACCGAACCCAAACCAAAACAAGAGTCTAGACTCTCGACCTCAGGGTAGACGATATAGCCGAAGCATCCCAATGTTACACAGGCAGACCACCAGTGGTTTTGGGGTTTGTTTTCCGCCCAAAACCCTAAACCCTAAACCCTAAACCCTAAACCCTAAACCCTAAACCCTAAACCCTAAACCCTAAACCCTAAACCCCCAAACCCTAAACCCTAAATTGCACTTGGCCAGGAGCACCAAGTCCAGGCTGGTCCGGGATCGGGTTGCTCGGTTGTCGCCTTTGCCTGTTCAGGTCGACGGCCTTATGAGGGGGTTTAGGGTTTAGGGTTTAGGGTTTAGGGTTTAGGGCAAGTGTGGCAGAGGTGTTCAAGTTCACAAGCACGGCACTTTCATCCTAGAACAGCCACACTCCGAGTCGGACTTTAGCTGTCACACGTTCAGAGGACCCCCAACCCTAAGCCCCAAACCCTAAACCCTGAGTCTTAAACCCTTTGCATAACATCTTCAGCTGCCCGGCAGCTGACCGAACGGCTATTGAGGGGAGTGTCACTGAGGTGCAGGGATTCAGAGCGCGTTGCATCAGGCCCAGAAGGCCCCCAAACGAGTTCTTCAGGCCAAGACGTATCGAAGCCACTGTACCATATGTACCACTGCGACGACAATGGCAGGTCTTGTGGAGTCAGGAAGTAGATTGATATAGGGCTTCAGCACCCCAACCCCCCGGTACATTGCTGAATCACCAATCGTTTCCAGGACTTTGGCCGTGCGCTCTTGAACGGCAACAAACCATGGGTGTTTGGGGGCACACATGTCAGTTTGCGAAAATACAGGAGCCCCTAATATAGACCCCACAAGAAGGATTCCCTGATGGCAAAGCACCCCAATAGGGTAGCACACCCTGAGCGCAGGATTTGGAGCCCGGCGTGTGGACGGAGGCCTGTTACTTGGGCTACTTGGGTGTCTTTGCGGATCAGGGAGCAGGGTCCCCAAAACCCCTTAAACCTTAAACCCTGAACCCTAAACCCTAAACCCTAAACCCTCAAGAAGCATGAAATGGACGATACCGTTTCAGAGTTGATAGTCGCTTAGAGAGAAAGGGTTGGGTTTGGGATGTCCATGGCGGCTTCGGGTTTTCTCAGAAACCCCCTCTAGCTCTAGCCTGGATGGGGAGCCAAAGGATTTGGGGGGGGAGATTTTTCCAGGGTTGGATCCAAAGACTGCCCCTAAACCCTAAACCCTAAACCCTAAACCCTAAACCCTAAACCCGAAACCCTAAACCCTAAACCCTAAACCCTAAACCCTAAACCCTAAACCAACCCTAAACCCTAAACCACCCTAAACCCTAAGCCTAAACCCTAAACCCTAAACCCTAAACCCGAAACCCGAAACCCTAAACCCGCAGGTCCTTCCAGCGACTGCCCCGGTGCGGAGCCAACACGCCCTGGCTCGCTGGCTGCAATACGTCGGGTGCGAGAGAGGGCTTCCGTGACCAACTTTCTGTGACCAGCTGCAATAACCCAAGAGCGGATCACTTGAAAAGGGGGCTTCGGTTCCCTTGCGGCAAAAGACAAGTCTTTCCTCGCGCATGCTAGTTCTGTAGACGCGTTCCTTTGTTTAATTTACTCAGCGATGTGAAGGTGCCTTCCTCGATGCCTCTACTCGCTGGATCGTTTTATTCAGTTTGCGTCCCTCCGCCGGCCAGACTTGAGGGGATCATGGCCTTACCGCAGTGTTACCGAGCTTTAAACAGTAAGCCCCGGCAACCGCTAAGCTCGTTTCGGCTGTGGGAACTTTCGCGTGTTCTGACGGCTCCGTGATCTCAGCGCAGGGCAAGATTATCTGCCCATGATTCTACGCCATCAGCTTCTACATCGCCTTATATTATGTCTAGGTGGACCACAAATACCCTGGATCGTCGCTCTGGTTGCGCGCCTTTTTCAGCTTCAAAGCGGCTACACGTCTTTTGCAAACCCAGACCGCGTACTCCTCGGTGTGCATTCTAAAAGGTCAGGCGTGTTTCTTAGAAGATTTGCAGCTAAGCCAGTTTTTCTTTTAAGCCGATCTCCTCCTCTTCGTTCGCTTCACAAGCAAGCTTTCTAAACCCAACAAGAAGGATACCAGGCAAAGTGGGCCCACATGTGTAAAGGCCGGGCACGTTTCTGAGCATGTTGGCATCGCCTCAAACCTCTTGAACTCACACCTGGGGCAGAAAGTGGGGAGGCTTTGTGTTGACATTGCCCGGTGCCGGCCTGGCATCCTAGAAACCATCAACCACGATTCTGTTCTTCCTGTTGAGTTTGTGAAGGATGTAGTCGTTGTTCCGCGACATGGGAAGTGTGTAGCGGGGGGGCGGGGGGCCGACGAGGGAGACTGCGCAAGTCCAACTGCGAAGCCTCTGAGCCCTTCCGCCAAAGTGCCTTGGAGAAGCCTCTTTTTCAGAAGCTCCTTGCCTGCCAGGGTTTGAGGACTTGTGATGTGCCGGCGCGTGCTAGGTTTCCACCGGAACCGAGCTGTACCTGTATGGAGGAGGATACTGGGACAGCCCCTTGGCCGCAGGCCATGGTGTTGCAGGTGGTGTGGCGAGCAGGATTCTTGTTTAGGATTATGTAGGACCCTTCTCATGAATCTTCAATCCCAGACCCCCCCCCTCCCCGAAGTAGGGAATCGAGGCGCAGGAGCGCCAGTAAACCCTGCAAACCCCCCAAAAGCACCCTAAGCCCCAAACCCTAAACCCCAAACCCTACCCTAACCCCTAAACCCTAAACCCTAAACCCTAAACCCTAAACCCGAAACCCGAAACCCTGAACCCTAAACCCTAAACCCCCTAGGGATTTTCCTGACAGCCTTGGAAATCACCCAAATGGTCAATTTTAGTGTTTTTGTCCCTTTTTTGTGGTTTTTGACCATTTTGGGCCTTCACAAACATGGCATCTGGAGAGATCCCCAAAAGGACCCCAAAAGCCGCGAGGGCTTGAACCAAGGCTGAAAGCCGGCTTTTTCAGGGAAAAGCAAAAACGAGAAAAACTCGGTCAAACCCCGCGCAAAACCTGGCCAAAACTCCGGACCCAAGCCCTGAACTTTCTACAAGCCCCTAAAGCCCAAAAGCACCGCAAAAGCGCCTCATGTCTACACACCTCCCAAGGTGGCACGAATCAGAGGGTCTATCCGACCGACCTCTGGAAGTATGATGGCGCTGCGCCTCGGCTCTCGGGATCACTTGGGGAGTCTTCGGCTGGGAATTCCTCTGTGAGCTTCCTTGTTCCCTTGTGCGCCCTGAGCCCTAAACCCTAAATCCTAAACCCTAAACCCTAAACCCTGGGTGTGCCAGAGGATCCGGTGCCGGAGGGCTTGAAAGGCAAACACACCTTTGGTCACTCCCCGGCACCCCATTTCTGGGAGTGAGGGTGCCCTACAAGGCACCCAAGAGGGCGCCCCATTGTGTCGCTTTTGAAGCCAGCTTGCTAGAGAGGTTCTGGGGATGTCTCATGGCAAAGCCGACACTGGGAGCCTCCGCAAGTCCGCCCACTCACTCGAAAAGTCTTAGAATCTTGGTGAGACACTTTCGTCAAAGGTTCATGCAAGAACCCACACGGCCAATTCTGCGCGAGATCTATGCCCCCCCCCCCCCTTCCCCTTGATTCGCGACACTCTCGTCACCAAAAGCACATCCTACCGCACAACTGAACACCAAATCAGTTTCCTAGACCATGAGCTGTGCGAAACTTCACTCACGCATCGCACTTCGCTTCCCTTCATGCGCCCAAGACGTTCACTGAGTACTTTCAGGCTTTCTTCCATTACAACGGCATGAAACAGCGAAGGAGGGCTCCGAGCCCCCCCCCAAGAAGGAGAGAAGCAGAGAGTGCAGGGGAGCGAGTGAGCAGGAGTAGCGATCCCGAGGTGGATCCCCTGTGCGTCCTTTTTTTTTTGGGTTTGGGGAGGGCTTTTGGGGGGTTTATGATGGGGTTGTTAGGGTTTGCCTCGCCCCGGAGTCTTTGAGTCAGTTCCTCAAGCTTGGTGGCCCTTCTGTGCCATGGTGTCTGTGGCTCTTCCAAGAGAATGAGTGGAGTTTCGGGTGGACATGTGTTGTCGCGCTACTGCCATGTCGTTTAGTGTGCGATGCGATTTTGTTGGCGAGAAGATGAACCTCCCCCTTTCTCTTCCTCACCATTAAATCCCCAAGGCCCCAGAAGCTGCCTTGTGAGGCATGGAGCCAGATGTCTCAAAGTGGACCAAATGTAAATGAGCTGCCCGGCCGAAGGATGTTCATGCAGAGGGCTTCCTCATACTTGGCTGTGCGCTGGAGGCGGGAAGGCCACGTCGTCGTCTACAATCCGGTCGGCCAGACGATCCTACTGTGGGGTGGGTGGGCTTCTTGCCCTGAGAAGGGCTTGTGATGAGGGGAACTTTTTCAAGGCTTAGAAGGCTTAGGGCTTAGGGGATGCCAATGCCCTAAGTGCTTTGGGTTGTAAGGGGTTGGGGCAGTCCTCAGAAAGGCCCTCGCAGTTACCGGGTAACGAGCTTCACCATGAGAGCGGCACATGTTGCAGCGCACGACATCTTTGGTTGAGGCTTGTCTAACATACTCCATGCGCCAGGCTGTGCCTGTCAGCCTTTTTTTGTTTTCACCACCTTCAGTGTGGGGTTGTTAGATTTTAACCTCAACTCTTCTCCTCGCCCGGAACTCTTCTCCTCGCCCGGTCTACTCCTGGAGTGCCCAACCCCAGAGACTGCCTGGAGTGCCCAATACCAGAGACTCCCTGGACTGCCCAACCCCAGAGCGTGCCCAAATCCAAATCCCTAAGGTGGGGATGTTCGAAGTAAAATAATTGTTTTTCATCTTGAAGGCCCTCCATTCTCAAGCCTTTGTGTGGGGCCCGGCGGCGGAGTGCCCATACATCCGAGGTGGCATGTTGTCGAGTGCGATGTATCGGAGCGCATACCAACATGTCGGGAACTCGCTCGCGCGCAATTCGCTGGTCGAGTTGTCTTTTTGCGGTCGAGGCGATGTGGGAGTGTGGTGTAGGGTTTCAACATGGGTGCATGTGTTGTTTAAATGTAGCAATTCGGGTGGCAAGTACCGAATGTGTTTCGGTTTGCCTGAGATCTAGCTGTTGAATTCTGGCGCGAGCCAAAACGTGAGCCCACCCGAACCATGGAGCCTCTTGCGACCGAGTCCGGTGGAGTCCGCACGGACGATCTGTTCTCATATGACATCCAGGTGCAAATTGTGGCAGCTCTGGGATTCTTCGACTAAGAACTTGGCAAGTCGTACCCAAGGGTGAGAGCCGCTTTTCATTTTTTGCGCGATTTGGTTCCAGGTTGGGGAGTGTGGATAGATAAGTTGCGCATCTTTGGCCCAACCCCTCAGCGGGAAAAACCTGGCTAAGGTCCTAGAGTTGTGGAACCCTACCTCTTGCAATTTGTCTCTAGGAAGTTCGGAGATAGCAATCCAAATGTGCAGAAAGTCCAGAATGACAAGGGGTTGTCACCGCAATGTCGGCGTGGCCACCTCGAATTTTGGAATACAGTACTGGAGCAGGTGTTGACATTCTTCTGAAGTCGCAGTATCCCCGTCATAGCCCCTTCCTTTTGTATTCCCCCATAGAATCCCCAAAATAGCTCCCCCGTTAAGAAATTTAGACTATGGCTGACGTGAAGGCACAGGTCAGGCTGCGTTGGAACTTGAAGGCTTCGGGGGTTGGGCGTGTAGGCTTATGGTTCACAGATGGACCACTGCAGGCAGCCCAGAGTTTCCGGGTTGCCCGTTCATGTCTTCGGGGTTTTTTGCAGAATGTGTAGGCTTTTGGGGCAAGCAGTGCCTGTTCCAAAAACCCCCCCAAGCCTGGTGCCCGAAAGCCGGAATGAAGCCCGACTGACTGTACTGGCCCGAGTCTTCACTTTTTCAGGGTTCAACTCGGACTTCGTTGCGAAGGGAGCACGTGAAGCTCCATAATCTCCCTGAAACTCAACCCGAACCCCCAACCCCCCCCCCCGTCCCCCCTACAAAGGAAAACCAACACCCCCAAAGCACCCCCAAAAATCCCAAAAAACCCAAAAACCCTGAAGCTCCCCGCGTTGCAGTCCTTGACCTGGACGTCTCTGGGGGGTTCTGCATCCGCCTCGGGGCCGGATGCCAAGGATGGCGCAGTGGCAGTGGCTCGGAACGGTTTAGGGTTTTGGGTTTAGGGTTTAGGGTTTAGGGTTTTTTTTAGGGTTTTTAGGGTTTTTAGGGTTTAGGGTTTACGGGCTAGGGGGTTTAGGGGTCGTTCGAAGTTCGGGAGAATAGCTTTTTTTGTTCTCTCCAAGCTCCCCCCCTCCCCTCCGCCATCTCTCTCTCATATTCACAGGGTGTTTTTTTTTTGTGGGCAGCGCTTGCGCGAGGATTCTTTATCATCAACCGCAGGAACTTCCCTAATTCTTTCCCTCTGCAAGCTGTGTAGAGCCCTAAAACCCTAAACCCGAAGCCCTAAGCCCTAAGCCCTAAACCCCAAACCCTAAATCCTAAGCCCTAAATCCTAAGCCCTAAGCCCTAAACCCTAAACCCTAAACCCTAGAAGCCTCCAGTGTTCTCCGGCTCGCAGCTCCATGCCCCAAAGCTGAGCCCCCGGGGCAAAGCCAGGGAATGACGGGGGAATCACCCGAAAAAAGTGAAATCCGAGCATGCCCTCTTCCACTCCCTTGCTGCACCTCAGCCTTAGCCCAAGTATGATTCCCTGGAAAGAGCATGTCAACCCCTCAACCCT